ACGATTGGACATCCCCTCACAGAAGGGTTACAAGGAAGGGATGAGTCAGCCAGGGTGCAGTCTAGCACTGACAAAACACACAACATTGCTCTCGTTCTATAATGCTTCCTCCCCTCCACTATCATGACCCCAGTTCTGCCTTACAGATCCAGCTAGGCCAGAGCATGTACACTGCTACAGATAAGATCTCTTGACACACAGAATCCAGGACACACGAACCTCTCAACCACAATAACAGCAGTAGTGATACCATGAGGGTAGGGAAAGGTTGGGGGATAAAAAGAAGAAAGGGGGAACAGATAGCAATCATCAATGCACAACACCCCCTCACCACCACCCTGAGGGGGACGAGCAACAAAAACAAGGGTGAAGGGAAACTGCATACAGTATACGATATGAAAATAATAAAAATTTATAATTTATCAAGGGGTCGTGAACGTGGGAGGGTGGAGGAAGGCAGGAAAAAAGAGGAGCTAATACCAAGGGCTCAAGTAGGAAGAAAATATTGATGGCAACGCATGTACAAATGTGCTTGCTACAACTGATGTATGGTTTGGTAAGAGCTATAAGAGCCCCCAATAAATGAATAACAATAAAATAGTTCTAAGATGTGGCCCTTCTTAATATGAATTAACTCATGAAATCATTTAGTCATTATGCAAAAAAAAAACAAAACCCACAAAAACCACACACCAAAGAGCAGAGAGAGAGAGGGAGAAAGCCTGTGATAGATGTAGCTAGCCAACGAGCGCCACAGAGAACAATTTAGACTGAAGAGGACAAAGAACAAGAAGAAAGAACACTGTCTCAGACTCCTACCAGCTGTACATAGGCCTCATGAGGTACATCTGTTGCCCTCTCAGAAAAGCAAAGGACCATCCAAGGGTGCACCTCAGAGATCAGCAGGGTCATTTTGGTTTCAGAGACTGGCACCATAGGCTCGAGGTCTCAAAGAGTCAGATCTTTGCCCACTCAGTTCTGGATTTTGGGGCCAGGGATAAAGAATACTACCCAACACAATCCACAGCTGCGTGGGCTTCAATACTAAGGAAGCGGACGAATGGGGGCTGAGGTAATGAGTTTATATTCAGATGAACCAGGAGAATGGGGGAGCCCAATGCCAAGGGCCATTACAATGGGTCTGGAGGGAGAGCTGAAACACAGTTGAAGAACCTCGACTGAAAGTCCCAAGGGCAGGGCCAATATCCAGAGTCAGGTAAGTAAGGGTTTTGCCTAGATGGTCCAAAGAACAGAGGAGTGTTTCCGAGTCCAGGGAGTTCATGTGAATTGCCCTGTGTGGTATGAGACTTGCTGGGGGTGTGTTATCCTTACATTCCTTCCAGATTCTTCTATTTGTAATGGGGATATAGACTTAGTTTCCGTTCTCCCATGTTCTGTTAGCAAAAGAGAACATGTGGTCTCGATCTCCTAGGTTCACAGATGAATAAGAATTTTGCCTCTGGATATAGTCATCCTAAAGTATTATCCATCCTTAGATGATTCAGAAAATGCGATTTGGAATGCGGAGTTGATTTGACACAGATTTTGGATGATGCGATGGAGTAAATGCGCTTTGAATGTCGCAAGGGCATGAATTTTTCAGACCCAAAGTGGAATGTTTTGGGATGGATATGTGTTCTAAATACTAGCATCTATGCTTGTAGCTATAATTTCATTTGGGAATGGAGTGTCTTTGTTATGTGAATGAAGCAGGATTAGTGCAGGTTATATTTTGAGTGACTCTACTTTTTTTGAGACAGAAAGGAGATTAAACAACCAGGAGGTATGGGGAAAGAGAGATGCCAGCCACATAAAGATAAAAAAAGCAAGGGACTTTCTCCAGAACTGACACACAGAGAAAGCTTCCCTCTAGATCCAGTACCTCAAATTCATATTTCTTGTCTTCTAAACTGTGACAAAATTAATCGGTCATTAAAGCCATCTATCTGTGGTATTTCTGTGAGAGTATCACTGGATGACTATGATGAACATGATAAATCTTCCAACTCATACAGCTGTGTTTAAGAGAACCGGAGGAAAGTAATGGAATTGGTGTTGATAAGACTATTGGTGATGTTTATCCACAGAAGCCCCTCCATTTCAAACAAACAAAACACTGAAAGAAATAACTTAAGAAAAGCTTAAGCAATTGTGGCTGAGCAGGAAGACACTAATTAAATCAAGGAACACTCTCATAACCAGAGACCTTATGCATTTTTTCTTACAGAGTACGAAAATAATCTATTCATGAAATTTATAACTGTTAGAATGAATCAGGATTCTCTTTATTAAATCAGAAAAGAAGTAATGCATCTGAAAATTAAAGTATTTGCATAGTCAGGGTAGAACAAACATACATTTACGATTTTAGATAGCTACTTGAATCCCAATGTTCTCCCCAACAAATTCATGTAATTTCAATTTGGATATATTCCAACAAGATAATAGAATTATAGGGTTTACCCAGAAGAAACTAAAGGGGAGAGATCAAATCACAAACAACAACCCAATCAATCAGATCAGCTTTCCTTTTCCTGAGAACAATTTTGGCTCTGGGGACCCTACGCGCCCTGACAACTGAGTTCAGCATAGCTGCCCCACAAGTTATGGGATCCATGCTAGAGTGAAATGGAAGGCAGTGCACATTTAGCTGTGATACTTACCGCATTGAAATTGGGGAAAAGGTTGACAGCAGCCGCAGTGTCGAGAGGAAAAGGAAGAAATGGTTTAATATCCAGCGATGGCTGCAAAGGAGGGGCTGGTGGCCGCACCAAGGCTGGGAGAGCAGGGCTCTGGCATGTACCACCTGTGGAGAAGAGAGCGGAGAGCAGTCAGGGACAGCACACTCCGGAGTACAGAGTAGGAGAGCCCGGCTTTGTGGGTCGCAGGCACAATAAGACTTGACGTGTATTGATCTAAACTGGCAACTGGACAAATGAGCTGATTCACTATGAGTTGGAGCGAGCCACTTTTTTTTTTAAAAAAAAGTATAATTCTCTGGTTATGGAAATTACACTTGATTTCAAATAATTACTTCCCAATCTGTCCTTTCCCGAATCCCTCGGGGTGGGGTCAGTAGTAAATTTGCTACAACTCAAGATCCCTGTATGCAGAAGGAAACTCTTCCACTCGCATCCCTATCTCTTGGAAAACCAACTTCTGCTCCGAAAATGCACCTAGTCCGAGACAATTTAACACAACCGCACCCTGCTAGCACAGCCAGAACTCCAGCCGCACGATGGCATGAAGCTGGCAGAGAGCAGACACGGAACCACAGTCACAGGCAGCTGTCCCTTCCTGCCCCTGGCAACTGGAAGACTGGACCCCAGAAAACCCAGTGCAACAGATTGAGTGCTTCCTGCGCTCTTCAGCACCTCTATCACTTTGTGTCCTCAGAAACCATCCCCTGGCTTGGCAGGCATGAGTAAGCATGCTTCCAAGGCCACCAGGATACCACCAGACACCCACTTTGCACCCTCGTACACAGCCAGCTGTTCTGTTCAGGAGCACCCACCTTCGCCCACCGCACACAGATGTGGGAAGGATGCCAGCCTTGCCCGGTGTTGAGTTCCTCCCCATCACTGGGAAACACTCCAAAGCATCAATTTGTTGTTAATTGAAGGCCGTTTGAATCCTAGGAACTGTTCAAATCGGCCGGCATTCTTCTAAGCCGAGGAGCAGGCAGCAGATTGTAAAAACCTGCTCGTGAGAATTCAAGAAGCCTTAGGAAAAGAAGACCCACTGAAGTTTTTATTTTCCTTACAGAAGAGAAGGAAAGAGGTTCCTGTCTGTGGCACTTGATGGATGCCATCTCATTTTTAAAGGAAAATACAGGGAAGCTCCATACACAGGGTCAATATACTTGAGCACAGCGAAAAATCGCAGAAGCCTCTATGGAAATGAAAAGATCAACAGGTAAAGCTATTATTTCTCAACTTATCCTCCACCTAGATCTACCGGTTGGAAGGCGATGTCACTCTTTGGAAGGCGATGCTGCTTTCTCTAACCCAGCGATTCTCAACCTGTGGGTCGCGACCCCCCTGCGGCTTGAATGTCCCTTTCACAGGGGCCACCTGGTTCATAGCAGTAGCAAAATGGCAGTGATGAAGTAGCAACGAAAATAATGTTATGGCTGGGGGGTCAGTACAACATGAGGAACTGTATGAAAGGGTGTCAGCATTAGGGAGGTTGAGAACCGCTATTCTCACCCTTAATGGAAGGATTCTGCACGCTTTGATGGACGGCACATCAAAATGACAGTTTGGGCCTCATCCTCCAGGGCTCAAACATGTTTATTGTTCTTTGATGCGGAACAACCTCAAAAAGTCTGAAGAAACAAGAAGAGGGCTGGACGTTGGCTAGAGTAAGGCTTCCCAAAGAAGTTTTAATAGCGTCGACTTCACCCCCCTTGAAGAAAAAATAGATATATTGTCATGAAGGAATTAAAAAAAATTCCTCAGCATAAATTTTCTTGCCTTTTCTCACCAAATCTCTTTTCTTGAAACTTCTTCCCAATAAGGCCCCATGATCATCCTGCATCCTTTGAGAAAACCTATCCAGATCACTCATTTGGAATCATCTGAAGCAGTGCCCATTACCCAAGGAGCTGACCTCTCTGCCTTACACGGACCCAGCAGGTTCCCCTGGAAACCACTGTCTTGACTGGATCTTGCTCTCTGGATCACATTGATAAACTCAAAACTTCCCTCCTAGTTACAATGTATTTCTGTACATTAACTTCATTTCATTCAATTTTGCTGAAACAAGCGATGGGCAGATCACCTCTTTGAACTAGCTGATTGTCTCATGACTCTTCCTCTATCTATAGAGCTGAAAGCTAGCTGATGGCAAGATGGTCACTTAGAATTGAAAATAATGGACCTACGGAGATCCTCATGTCCGTCACAATCAGTCAGAATTCCTGGATCTTCTCCCACTACTTACTAGACTGGGCACAGTTTCTTGATTAGGTAAAGTTGATAGTTTTCCTTCGCTTTGCTCACCTTTGACATCTTCCTGAGCTTCCTTAAAATGTTTTAACCACCGACAGACTCTTGCTTTATGTGGTGTGGCATTTCTGTACACTTGTGGCAAAATTCATTATTTGGAAAGCTATCCACTTCAGTTTTATTAAAAATTTACATTAGCCCTGACCTCAAAGATGGTGGTTATTTTTCATCATTTTGCACATTATAATGCATACCCTTTATTTTAAAGGGGCCCTAATGAGAGTCAGACAAGTGTGTGTGAAAGCTTGAAAAACATACATGGAATAGCCTTATATGGTTTTCTTTCTATTTTCCTGTGAAGTTGTATTACCAAGAGAACTTGTCTGCTGCTCTTGTTGTTGGAACGCACTCATGCCTACAGATGGGGACTCCAGAAACAATACTTTTGGACTTATCCTGGCATGCCACAACTAAATCTCTGTCCAAATGCAAATGTTCAACCATCATTCTGCCTTCAAATAGGTACCCAAGCGCAAGAGAGACATTCTGAACCCGGTTCCCAAAGGCCAATCCAATACCATTAGAACAGAAGATCTGCTAACAAGGTGGGTGACTGAAGACCTGTAACACAAGTCATCAGAGCTGAGCTTAATTAACCAAAGCAAGTGCCATCAACTCTCCTGCTTCCAGCTATGAAATCAGCTAGAGCCAAATTAGCTAAAGCAGTATCTTTTCCCATTGTTTCATTTTCATTGAGAAATATCCTTCAGCAAAAAGAAGGTCAATTGACATTTGAGTCTCCCAAACAACAACAACAATAATAGCATACGGGAGAAAGTCTATTTTAAAAGTACAGATAAAAGAAACACATAACAAATCTGCATTCACTACAATACACTAGTCAGTTTTGTTTTTCTTTTTGACTACTTTGTAGCGGACTGACTACCAGTCGGCAAGCTTCCCGGGTGAGGGCATCGATAAGGCTTTAGTAGTGATAGACCTGTTAGCATTTTAGTATTGCTAAAGGTTTCTCTCTGGATGAAAAATTAAGGTACCAAATGGAATATTTTTGGACCTTTTCTGGAAAATACAGAAGTAAAATAAGTTACAGTTGACGTCCATGGTGAGGTTTAACATGTCCACAAATAATAGAAAATTGCAATAAATAGTCTAAAATTATTGTCATCTATGACTCAAATCATATTTTCCAAGGGTTGTGATGAACTCACACAAGGACTTCCTCATGTAGCCCTCACATTGCAGGGATTAAGTAAGGACAAGCATAAGTTCATGGAGTGAATAGATAAGTTGATACATGCTTTATCGGCTTTCTACATTACTTCCACAGGACCTTCAATACCGATAGTCTTAGGACTGTAATTTTACAGGAAAGCATTCCACTATTATTTCTAAATCAAGAGACCTAAGCCATTTATCTTCTAGCATACTGAGAGGCATAAGGTATAAGTAGAGGTTGATTTACATGTTAGGTAAAGTTCACCACAAACTTATACCCCCTTTTCTTACAGAATAAACATTGCATTTACATGTATACAGATAGTTCAAACCCTTTCTCCACCAAGTTTCCATCAGAGAGGGGGGAAAATAGAGAATTGTTAAACTTTTGTAGTTATGGTAAAATACTTGGACTTACATCTGTTTCTTCCATTCTTACAGAAAGCATTTAAAAAGTCAGTGAAATTCAGAGGAATTGTGTATTCTTTGGCCACTGCTAGTAAAACAAACAAACAACAGATGCAG